CGCGATCAGTGTTTTTTTTTGTGTCCATTAATTCAATAAATAAATAAATAAATTTTTTTTTTCTATAAACTATGCACCTATTTTTTAACAGAAATTTTGGGAGATAGGTTGTCTACTCATAATCTCAAAAATATGGATGATTTGACCGGTCATCTCTTAGATCTAAGCCCTATTCCTGATTATGTATTTGTAACCTTGGACATAAAAGAAATGTACCCTAAGACTCCTTTGGTGCCTTTATGGCAGGTTCTAGAGAATTTAATGTCTTTCGACTGGTTTCAGGCTAATTATTTCTCTTTCAATTCCATTTGGTACCAGCAACTTGAGGGGTTGCCCCAAGGCGGCTCTGCTTCTGGTCTGTTGGCTACATTGTAACATTGCTACATTGGAAATATATTACAACCTTATTTTTTCGGCTCACCATGTTAAAGCTTGGTGGAAATTCGTTGATGATGTGCTGGTTTATATGCCTAAGACTTATGTATTGGATTTTGTATCAGCTTTCTCCCATTGGACAGGTTTTGAGGTGACTCATGAAGATGAATCTATGAATGATAGTTGTTCTGGTTGTCCAACCATATCCTTTCTGGACTATAATATATCCCGTACACCTACTCAATTCCTAATGTCCCTGTATTTAAAACCTACCGCATCTCATCGTATAGTCCATTATACTGCATATGGTAGTAAGAACTCAAAAAGAACTGCCTTATTGTATCATTTGCGTAGGGTGTTGTTCCGTAGTAGTGATGTCTTTTTGTCACGTGATATGAGCTTCTGTATACAAATGATTAAAAACAATGGCTACCCTCATAGTTATATAATATCAGAGTTGTCCGATTTGTCCAACAAGCTTCTAGTAATAGGCAACCTTATACTGCGTGCCGACATTCTATATTATCTCATTTTATATTGTCCTCCAAAAATGTTCCATTTCCTAGGTTGTTATCAAAACAATCTATGCCTCGCTTTTATTTACGTAGTATTGTGTATAGTTGCGAAGAAATTTCGTCTTTAACACAGAGTGCTTTTGGCACTTATGGGATACCTACATTCTCAAAACCCGAAACTTTGTTCACTAAATTGAGTATGTCTTTGCGGGATATTCATCTGTACTTCTAAATTATCAACTAAACATAGAATATTGTTAACTTCTTGTACCGCATGTGGTCTTGGCTTTTTATGTACTGGGAAAGGGAATGTAAAACAAATATTGATTAATATTAAGGAGGATCCTGATTCTCCTATTAATAAGCATTTTTCCGTTTCAGGTCATTCCAACTTATCATCCGGTGTGGAACTGCCTTATACTAAACAACTCTCTCAGGATGTACAAATTTTAATCTATAAGCAGATCTATACTTCCATGGGAATACATTTGGATGACACATATAACTACAATACTATTTCTCGCTTTTTGGCCCTTAGATTGGACAGTTATTTATCTAGGATACCTACTAAATTACCTCTTCCCAAAGGGTTTATAAATTATTCACTATAATTTTATTGTTCCTACTATTGGTTATTCCTGTATATCTTATTTTGTTTTTGTTATTTTGTTAATTAAACTCCTATATTTGATTCGTTTTTCTCCTATATTTGATTATTTGTGTAAGAACTTATAAATAAACTTGTTTGTTCTATTAATAATATGATTTTCCTTTGATTCTATGTTGTTTTTCAGAACAATTAGGCTGTCAATTCTTTAAGTTAGTGTATATTGCTATTTGCTATATGGTGTTTTTGTTCTCTCTCAAACAGGTTATGGATTGTTCTGGTCTTTATCTAAAGGTTTTTCAATCTTATTTATTTATAGTTATCATTGCTACATTATTTTATCAGTTACTGGTGTATTTCATGTCTTAGACAAGTTGCCCGCTTTTTTAACTGTTATATCTCAAACATGGACACATGGGTCCACCTTTATGCATTCTCAATTATTACAATATTAGTTAGTTGTTTTTGTTTCAAAATTCTCAAAAATTCTATGTTATTTTGAATACTTATCCCCCTACATACACACCTACCCGGATGTACCGATCTCAGTCTGTATGCATACTTACTACTTACTACTTACAACGAATCAAGCATATTAGTGCCGATAAGTGTATTAAATACGTTAGATACCCCCCTCTTAAAAACATATGACAGGTCAAGCACATTAGTGCCGATAAACGTAGTAAATACGTTAGATACCCCCCCTCTTACAAACATATGACGAGTCAAGCACATTAGTGCCGATAAACGTAGTAAATACGTTAGATACTTCCCTCTTAGATAGAACCACAGGTAGTGATAGGGACCTTGATTTGAATATGTCAAAAACAAGCCTTAATAGCACTTCTAATGTTGCTCTACTAAGAGCTATAAAATTCAAAAACTCCACCAAAAATTTAAATAGAGATGTAGTTATGGGTTAGGGAAGCAATAAGAAACGTAAAATGTCGTTTAAATGTTCAGTAAAGGAATCAGAATTTTTTATTGAAAATATGTTGCAAACTTTAAATGACCATAAGTCAAAATTTTCGACTGAGAAAATTATTCAACACAAAATAACGTTTGCGATATAAATATAAAATAAATAAGAATGAATGCAAAAGGCTTTAGATGTTGCGGATACTGTCTTGATCCATCCTGTAACACATATTTGTTTAAGAGGAACTGTAAAGTCAGCAAGTGTAAGCTGTACTAGTGGCTTGGGAAGAAATAACTAAAAAGTAAGTTGGACAGAGTCTTCTTGCCAGTCACCACGCGATCAGTGTTTTTTTTGTGTCCATTAATTCAATAAATAAATAAATAAATTTTTTTTTTCTATAAAAGAAAATAAATGTGTTTAAATTATTAATTCTAATAGTTATAGTTAAAACATATAACTCGCGTCTCAAATAAAATTCATGGTACAGTGGTAACACACTGATGCAAACTAAAGAATATTAAATGGAGATTACAAATGAAATTTGAAGTAAATACAACCGACACGATTGACAGTTTATATTTAACTTCATTTTGTTTACATTTCATTATTTAAGATTGCTTAAACTAATGCAAAACATACTAGATTATAACAAAATTTATGTTACAATATTATTTATAAAAGTAAAATAATTGAATTTGTGATTTGAATTGTGTAATAGAACTATTTTATGATTATAAAAGATAAAGTACATTTTAATAGTGTTTAAATATAATCAGATAATTGATAACAGTATTATTGAAATAGTAGTCTCAGTATTATAAATTATTAATATATATCTTTATAATAATAATAAAGCATTACAAATATTTTATTTATTATTAAGATTTATTTTTATAATGACGATATAATACAATATAACATACTTCATTTAAGTAAATTTTTTTCATTTTACCATCGACAATTTAGAATTAAGAATCTCGTTTTGTTTTTATAAATTTAGTAATTGGTTTCAGTTGTTCTTGTTAACAACTGAATATGGTATAAAAATTCTATTTACATTCCTAACTTCTTCGTAATGATAAATGTTATTTTGTCGAGTGAGCACTGTAAATAAATTTATTTATGGATGCAACATCTATAATCACTTTATAAAACATATAAACCAATCAGAATACATTCATATCTTCATAGCACTATGGGTTGAAGAAATTTTTTGATTTAGAAAGTCTGTATTCCTTTATCAACTAATTTACTATATAAAAATGCTTGATTTGTATTTTTTTGTTTTTATTTGTTTTTTATTTGAACAGTTTAAAATTATACCGACGTAAAGTACCAGGTAGTGACTTAGAGTCACTATGCCAAAATATAAATGCGTTGTTGACCAAACTAAAGTAGTAAATGAAACATATTGCATTAAAAATGCAGAATTAGAAGTTTTATTAAAAAATTACTGTAGCCTAAAACAAATAAACTACAGGTTAGTAATCTTTAATTTTACTAAGCATTAAAATAGGAGAAACATTTGCATCATCAAATTGTAGTTGCATTTATTCCATATGTAGAGGTTTAGAAAAATGAAAGAGAAAGATATTCGGAGAGCTGTTATTAGCAGTGAAGACGAAACTACTGATGATGAGGCAGCTGTTGACAAAATTTTTGATGTTATCGAAGAATAAACAATAAACATTTCGGACTAAGAAGAAATAGTAGTCGCCGGCGATATATTTATTGGTAAAGATAGCACTGAATGAAATACAATACCACATGCTACTGGCAAGACACCTTCACACAATATAATAAAAGGAAGCCTCCATAAGGTGATATTGCCTATATGGTGGCTTTGGAACGGTATTATGATGGCTATGTTGAACATGGAATATTATTAGGCATGTATGATCGGGCTGAATTAGAATCACATTATTCTTTGTTTGTAGATGCTATGTTAAAGCATCAAGCTCCATCTTTGCATCATAGAATGCTGTCCCATATATACCAGGTAACACTGGCTTTCTTGAAGAAACATGATGATTTAATCTTGGTTCAGGCCGATAAAAGTATGGCAACTATATTGATGTTTCGTTCTGATTATATTTCGAAGATGGACACTTGGCTCTCCTCCTATTTGTCTTCCGGTGCTTGTATCAAGTTTACTGGTAATAAAAATATGTTGTTGAGACGCTTGCTTGCCTTGTATAAAAGAGTGGTTTTACCTCTGCGTCATTTGTATGCCTTGAATCCTTCCATTTATCCCTCCAACATACACAAAGATTTACTTATTAAATTACAGGACCCACCTCAGATTTCTTATTTGTATGGTTGCATAAAGACTCACAAACCAGATTTTCCCATTCGTCCGATTTGCAGCCCTATTAATTGGTACATTGGCCCTTTGCATAAACTATGCACCTATTTTTTAACAGAAATTTTGGGAGATAGGTTGTCTACTCATAATCTCAAAAATATGGATGATTTGACCGGTCATCTCTTAGATCTAAGCCCTATTCCTGATTATGTATTTGTAACCTTGGACATAAAAGAAATGTACCCTAAGACTCCTTTGGTGCCTTTATGACAGGTTCTAGAGAATTTAATGTCTTTCGACTGGTTTCAGGGTCGTTGCCCTATAAGTATGGATCTGTTAAGGAAATTATTAGATTATATTCTACATCAGGCTAATTATTTCTCTTTCAATTCCATTTGGTACCAGCAACTTGAGGGGTTGCCCCAAGGCGGCTCTGCTTCTGGTCTGTTGGCCACATTGTTTCTCGATTCCAGATTGGAAATATATTACAACCTTATTTTTTCGGCTCACCATCTTAAAGCTTGGTGGAAATTCGTTGATGATATGTTGGTTTATATGCCTAAAACTAATGTGTTGGATTTTGTATCTGCTTTCTCCCATTGGACAGGTTTTGAGGTGACTCATGAAGATGAGTCTATGAATGATAGTTGTTCTGGTTGTCCAACCATATCCTTTCTGGACTATAATATATCCCGTACACCTACTCAATTCCTAATATCCCTGTATTTAAAACCTACCGCATCTCATCGTATAGTCCATTATACTACATATGGTAGTAAGAACTCAAAAAGGACTGCCTTATTGTATCATTTGCGTAGGGTGTTGTTCCGTAGTAGTGATGTCTTTTTGTCCCGTGATATGAGCTTTTGTATACAAATGATTAAAAACAATGGTTACCCTCATAGTTATATAATATCAGAGTTGTCCGATTTGGTCAGGGGTTATGTCCAACAAGCTTCTAGTAATAGGCAACCTTATACTGCGTGTCGACATTCTATATTATCTCATTTTATATTGTCCTCCAAAAATGTTCCATTTCCTAGGTTGTTGTCAAAACAATCTATGCCTCGCTTTTATTTACGTAGTATTGTGTATAGTTGCGAAGAAATTTCGTCTTTAATACAGAGTGCTTTTGGCACTTATGGGATACCTACATTCTCGAAACCCGAAACTTTGTTCACTAAATTGAGTATGTCTTTGCGGGATATTCATCCTACTTCTAAATTATCAACTAAACATAGAATATTGTTAACTTCTTGTACCGCATGTGGTCTTGGCTTTTTATGTACAGGGAAAGGGAATGTAAAACAAATATTGATTAATATTAAGGAGGATCCTGATTCTCCTATTAATAAGCATTTTTCCGTTTCAGGTCATTCCAACTTATCATCCGGTGTGGAACTGCCTTATACTAAACAACTCTCTCAGAATGTACAAATTTTAATCTATAAGCAGATCTATACTTCCATGGGAATTCATTTGGATGACACATATAACTACAATACTATTTCTCGCTTTTTGGCCCTTGGATGGGAGTTATTTATCTAGGATACCTACTAAATTACCTCTTCCCAAGGGGTTTATAAATTATTCACTATAATTTTATTGTTCCTACTATTGGTTATTCCTGTATATCTTATTTTGTTTTTGTTATTTTGTTAATTAAACTCCTATATTTGATTTGTTTTTCTCTTATATTTGATTATTTGTGTAAGAACTTATAAATAAACTTGTTTGTTCTATTAATAATATGATTTTCCTTGATTCTATGTTGTTTTTCAGAACAATTAGGCTATCAATTCTTTAAGTTAGTGTATATTGCTATTTGCTATATGGTGTTTTGTTCTCTCTCAAACAGGTTATGGATTGTTCTGGTCTTTATCTAAAGGTTTTTCAATCTTATTTATTTATAGTCATCATTGCTACATTATTTTATCAGTTACTGGTGTATTTCATGTCTTAGACAAGTTGCCCGCTTTTTTAACTGTTATATCTCAAACATGGACACATGGGTCCACCTTTTTGCATTCTCAATTATTACAATATTAGTTAGTTGTTTTTGTTTCAAAATTCTCAAAAATTCTATGTTATTTTGAATACTTATCCCCCTACATACACACCTACCCGGATGTACCGATCTCAGTCTGTATGCATACTTACTACTTACTACTTACAACGAATCAAGCATATTAGTGCCGATAAGTGTATTAAATACGTTAGATACCCCCCTCTTAAAAACATATGACAGGTCAAGCACATTAGTGCCGATAAACGTAGTAAATACGTTAGATACCCCCCCTCTTACAAACATATGACGAGTCAAGCACATTAGTGCCGATAAACGTAGTAAATACGTTAGATACTTCCCTCTTAGATAGAACCACAGGTAGTGATAGGGACCTTGATTTGAATAATATGTCAAAAACAAGCCTTAATAGCACTTCTAATGTTGCTCTACTAAGAGCTATAAAATTCAAAAACTCCACCAAAAATTTAAATAGAGATGTAGTTATGGGTTAGGGAAGCAATAAGAAACGTAAAATGTCGTTTAAATGTTCAGTAAAGGAATCAGAATTTTTTATTGAAAATATGTTGCAAACTTTAAATGACCATAAGTCAAAATTTTCGACTGAGAAAATTATTCAATACAAAATAACGTTTGCGATATAAATATAAAATAAATAAGAATGAATGCAAAAGGCTTTAGATGTTGCGGATACTGTGTTGATCCATCCTGTAACACATATTTGTTTAAGAGGAACTGTAAAGTCAGCAAGTGTAAGCTGTACTAGTGGCTTGGGAAGAAATAACTAAAAAGTAAGTTGGACAGAGTCTTCTTGCCAGTCACCGCGCAATCAGTGTTTTTTTTGTGTCCATTAATTCAATAAATAAATAAATAAATTTTTTTTTTCTATAAAAGAAAACAAATGTGTTTAAATTATTAATTCTAATAGTTATAGTTAAAACATATAACTCGCGTCTCAAATAAAATTCATGGTACAGTGGTAACACACTGATGCAAACTAAAGAATATTAAATGGAGATTACATATGAAATTTGAAGTAAATACAACCGACACGATTGACAGCTTATATTTAACTTCATTTTGTTTACATTTCATTATTTAAGATTGCTTAAACTAATGCAAAACATACTAGATTATAACAAAATTTATGTTACAATATTATATATAAAAGTAAAATAATTGAATTTGTGATTAGAATTGTGTAATAGAACTATTTTATGATTATAAAAGATAAAGTACATTTTAATAGTGTTTAAATATAATCAGATAATTGATAACAGTATTATTGAAATAGTAGTCTCAGTATTATAAATTATTAATATATATCTTTATAATAATAATAAAGCATTACAAATATTTTATTTATTATTAAGATTTATTTTTGTAATGACGATATAATACAATATAACATACTTCATTTAAGTAAATTTTTTTCATTTTACCATCGACAATTTAGAATTAAGAATCTCGTTTTGTTTTTATAAATTTAGTAATTGGTTTCAGTTGTTCTTGTTAACAACTGAATATGGTATAAAAATTCTATTTACATTCCTAACTTCTTCGTAATGATAAATGTTATTTTGTCGAGTGAGCACTGTAAATAAATTTATTTATGGATGCAACATCTATAATCACTTTATAAAACATATAAACCAATCAGAATACATTCATATCTTCATAGCACTATGGGTTGAAGAAATTTTTTGATTTAGAAAGTCTGTATTCCTTTATCAACTAATTTACTATATAAAAATGCTTGATTTGTATTTTTTTGTTTTTATTTGTTTTTTATTTGAACAGTTTAAAATTATACCGACGTAAAGTACCAGGTAGTGACTTAGAGTCACTATGCCAAAATATAAATGCGTTGTTGACCAAACTAAAGTAGTAAATGAAACATATTGCATTAAAAATGCAGAATTAGAAGTTTTATTAAAAAATTACTGTAGCCTAAAACAAATAAACTACAGGTTAGTAATCTTTAATTTTACTAAGCATTAAAATAGGAGAAACATTTGCATCATCAAATTGTAGTTGCATTTATTCCATATGTAGAGGTTTAGAAAAATGAAAGAGAAAGATATTCGGAGAGCTGTTATTAGCAGTGAAGACGAAACTACTGATGATGAGGCAGCTGTTGACAAAATTTTTGATGTTATCGAAGAATAAACAATAAACATTTCGGACTAAGAAGAAACAGTAGTCGCCAGCGATATATTTATTGGTAAAGATAGCACTGAATGAAATACAATACCACATGCTACTGGCAAGACACCTTCACACAATATAATAAAAGGAAGCCTCCATAAGGTGATATTGCCTATATGGTGGCTTTGGAACGGTATTATGATGGCTATGTTGAACATGGAATATTATTAGGCATGTATGATCGGGCTGAATTAGAATCACATTATTCTTTGTTTGTAGATGCTATGTTAAAGCATCAAGCTCTATCTTTGCATCATAGAATGCTGTCCCATATATACCAGGTAACACTGGCTTTCTTGAAGAAACATGATGATTTAATCTTGGTTCAGGCCGATAAAAGTATGGCAACTATATTGATGTTTCGTTCTGATTATATTTCGAAGATGGACACTTGGCTCTCCTCCTATTTGTCTTCCGGTGCTTGTATCAAGTTTACTGGTAATAAAAATATGTTGTTGAGACGCTTGCTTGCCTTGTATAAAAGAGTGGTTTTACCTCTGCGTCATTTGTATGCCTTGAATCCTTCCATTTATCCCTCCAACATACACAAAGATTTACTTATTAAATTACAGGACCCACCTCAGATTTCTTATTTGTATGGTTGCATAAAGACTCACAAACCAGATTTTCCCATTCGTCCGATTTGCAGCCCTATTAATTGGTACATTGGCCCTTTGCATAAACTATGCACCTATTTTTTAACAGAAATTTTGGGAGATAGGTTGTCTACTCATAATCTCAAAAATATGGATGATTTGACCGGTCATCTCTTAGATCTAAGCCCTATTCCTGATTATGTATTTGTAACCTTGGACATAAAAGAAATGTACCCTAAGACTCCTTTGGTGCCTTTATGGCAGGTTCTAGAGAATTTAATGTCTTTCGACTGGTTTCAGGATCGTTGCCCTATAAGTATGGATCTGTTAAGGAAATTATTAGATTATATTCTACATCAGGCTAATTATTTCTCTTTCAATTCCATTTGGTACCAGCAACTTGAGGGGTTGCCCCAAGGCGGCTCTGCTTCTGGTCTGTTGGCTACATTGTAACATTGCTACATTGGAAATATATTACAACCTTATTTTTTCGGCTCACCATGTTAAAGCTTGGTGGAAATTCATTGATGATGTGCTGGTTCATATGCCTAAGACTTATGTATTGGATTTTGTATCAGCTTTCTCCCATTGGACAGGTTTTGAGGTGACTCATGAAGATGAATCTATGAATGATAGTTGTTCTGGTTGTCCAACCATATCCTTTCTGGACTATAATATATCCCGTACACCTACTCAATTCCTAATATCCCTGTATTTAAAACCTACCGCATCTCATCTTATAGTCCATTATACTGCATATGGTAGTAAGAACTCAAAAAGAACTTCCTTATTGTATCATTTGCGTAGGGTGTTGTTCCGTAGTAGTGATGTCTTTTTGTCACGTGATATGAGCTTCTGTATACAAATGATTAAAAACAATGGCTACCCTCATAGTTATATAATATCAGAGTTGTCCGATTTGTCCAACAAGCTTCTAGTAATAGGCAACCTTATACTGCGTGCCGACATTCTATATTATCTCATTTTATATTGTCCTCCAAAAATGTTGCATTTCCTAGGTTGTTATCAAAACAATCTATGCCTCGCTTTTATTTACGTAGTATTGTGTATAGTTGCGAAGAAATTTCGTCTTTAATACAGAGTGCTTTTGGCACTTATGGGATATTTACATTCTCAAAACCCGAAACTTTGTTCACTAAATTGAGTATGTCTTTGCGGGATATTCATCCTACTTCTAAATTATCAACTAAACATAGAATATTGTTAACTTCTTGTACCGCATGTGGTCTTGGCGTTTTATGTACTGGGAAAGGGAATGTAAAACAAATATTGATTAATATTAAGGAGGATCCTAATTCTCCTATTAATAAGCATTTTTCCGTTTCAGGTCATTCCAACTTATCATCCGGTGTGGAACTGCCTTATACTAAACAACTCTCTCAGGATGTACAAATTTTAATCTATAAGCAGATCTATACTTCCATGGGAATACATTTGGATGACACATATAACTACAATACTATTTCTCGCTTTTTGGCCCTTGGATTGGACAGTTATTTATCTAGGATACCTACTAAATTACCTCTTCCCAAAGGGTTTATAAATTATTCACTATAATTTTATTGTTCCTACTATTGGTTATTCCTGTATATCTTATTTTGTTTTTGTTATTTTGTTAATTAAACTCCTATATTTGATTCGTTTTTCTCCTATATTTGATTATTTGTGTAAGAACTTATAAATAAACTTGTTTGTTCTATTAATAATATGATTTTCCTTTGATTCTATGTTGTTTTTCAGAACAATTAGGCTGTCAATTCTTTAAGTTACTGTATATTGCTATTTGCTATATGGTGTTTTTGTTCTCTCTCAAACAGGTTATGGATTGTTCTGGTCTTTATCTAAAGGTTTTTCAATCTTATTTATTTATAGTTATCATTGCTACATTATTTTATCAGTTACTGGTGTATTTCATGTCTTAGACAAGTTTCCCGCTTTTTTACCTGTTATATCTCAAACATGGACACATGGGTCCACCTTTATGCATTCTCAATTATTACAATATTAGTTAGTTGTTTTTGTTTCAAAATTCTCAAAAATTCTATGTTATTTTGAATACTTATCACCCTACATACACACCTACCCGGATGTACCGATCTCAGTCTGTATGCATACTTACTACTTACAACGAATCAAGCACATTAGTGCCGATAAGTGTATTAAATACGTTAGATACCCCCCTCTTACAAACATATGAAGAGTCAAGCACATTAGTGCCGATAAACGTAGTAAATACGTTAGATACTTCCCTCTTAGATAGAACCACAGGTTGTGATAGGGACCTTGATTTGAATAATATGTCAAAAACAAGCCTTAATAGTACTTCTAATGTTGCTCTACTAAGAGCTATAAAATTCAAAAACTCCACCAAAAATTTAAATAGAGATGTAGTTATGGGTTAGGGAAGCAATAAGAAACGTAAAATGTCGTTTAAATGTTCAGTAAAGGACTCAGAATTTTTTATTGAAAATATGTTGCAAACTTTAAATGACCATAAGTCAAAATTTTCGACTGAGAAAATTATTCAACACAAAATAACGTTTGCGATATAAATATAAAATAAATAAGAATGAATGCAAAAGGCTTTAGATGTTGCGGATACTGTCTTGATCCATCCTGTAACACATATTTGTTTAAGAGGAACTGTAAAGTCAGCAAGTGTAAGCTGTACTAGTGGCTTGGGAAGAAATAACTAAAAAGTAAGTTGGACAGAGTCTTCTTGCCAGTCACCACGCGATCAGTGTTTTTTTTGTGTCCATTAATTCAATAAATAAATAAATAAATTTTTTTTTTCTATAAAAGAAAATAAATGTGTTTAAATTATTAATTCTAATAGTTATAGTTAAAACATATAACTCGCGTCTCAAATAAAATTCATGGTACAGTGGTAACACACTGATGCAAACTAAAGAATATTACATGGAGATTACATATGAAATTTATGTTACAATATTATATATAAAAGCAAAATAATTAAATTTGATTAGAATTATGTAATAGATCTATTTTAGATCTATATATTATAGATCTATACTAGCCGGCGTGTTAATAGGATTAATCTTTGGGGGTAAAAATGTATGTAAATAATTTAATTTAAAATATATATATAATATTATATTATTATTTATATTAAATGTTATATTAAAATTTAATATTTTTGTATCTTTCTTTAGCAACTGCAGCGTTAATAGCAGAAAAAAAACAGCCGACGGCCAGTTGTTACTACCGGCGACGCGAAAAAAACCGCCAGCGGCAAGAAGAAAACCTTCGGCGGCAGGAAGAAAACCGCCGTCGGCAGGAAGAAAGCCTCCGGCGGCAGAATGAAAACCGCCGTCGACAGGAAGAAAACCGTCGTCGGCAGAAAGAAAACAATGAAAAAAAACGTAATTTAAATCATTTTTATTAAAATTTTCAAAAAAATTAACAAATTTCTTTTTTTTTAACTTTTCAGAGTACAAAAAAGAAAAAGGAAATCATCATATGTAATTAATTAATAAGAGGGTAAAAGCAAATTAAATGATTGGTTCTTTGCTTTTAATTTTAAAAAAAAATTTTATTTTATTTAATATATTAAAACAAACTACTTTTTTATTTAATGTCTTACACTTGTTATAATGTTTGCAAAGTCCCTTATTGACATTGATTCATTTAAATCGTTTTTCAACAGCATAGTTATATTTGTGAATTGTAAAGTAAATATATTTGTTAGTAATTTTGACCACGTTAAGCAAGATTTTATAGATACTTAGATTAGATACTTCATATATGGTATGATTCGTTGCAATATATTTTGTCACCTTCTATACAACTATACAATCTAAAGTATAGTTTCTTCCAATAATGCACAATTCTAGTGTTAACTAATTTTATTAATTAATTTTTTTTTAATTTGTTTCCAAGTCGTGAACGATTATGGTTAAAATAAATTACACTGCTGCCATTCTTGGGGCATTGAAGAAGGAGGAAATACTTAAGATTGGCTTAAAAGAAGCTGATCAAGACATCTTCGAGCGTATTATTGAGAATATAAATACTCAATTATCAGGTAAGTCAATTATTTTAATTAAAAAAATAACGTACATGTTAGGCGTAAGATATGTAATGCTTATTATTTTTGTAAAATGAAAATTATAAAAGGTAATTCGTTTAATGATAACGAAACAAATGACGAATCAAGCACATTAGTGCCGATAAGTGTATTAAATACGTTAGATACCCCCCCTCTTACAAACATATGAAGAGTCAAGCACATTAGTGCCGATAAACGTAGTAAATACGTTAGATACTTCCCTCTTAGATAGAACCACAGGTAGTGATAGGGACCTTGATTTGAATAATATGTCAAAAACAAGCCTTAATAGCACTTCTAATGTTGCTCTACTAAGAGCTATAAAATTCAAAAACTCCACCAAAAATTTAAATAGAGATGTAGTTATGGGTTAGGGAAGCAATAAGAAACGTAAAATGTCGTTTAAATGTTCAGTATAGGACTCAGAATTTTTTATTGAAAATATGTTGCAAACTTTAAACGACCATAAGTCAAAATTTTCGACTGAGAAAATTATTCAACACAAAAAAACGTTTGCGATATAAATATAAAATAAATAAGAATGAATGCAAAAGGCTTTAGATGTTGCGGATACTGTCTTGATCCATCCTGTAACACATATTTGTTTAAGAGGAACTGTAAAGTCAGCAAGTGTAAGCTGTACTAGTGGCTTGGGAAGAAATAACTAAAAAGTAAGTTGGACAGAGTCTTCTTGCCAGTCACCGCGATCAGTGTTTTTTTTTGTGTCCATTAATTCAATAAATAAATAAATAAATTTTTTTTTTTCTATAAAAGAAAATAAATGTGTTTAAATTATTAATTCTAATAGTTATAGTTAAAACATATAACTCGCGTCTCAAATAAAATTCATGGTACAGTGGTAACACACTGATGCAAACTAAAGAATATTACATGGAGATTACATATGAAATTTATGTTACAATATTATATATAAAAGCAAAATAATTGAATTTGATTAGAATTATGTAATAGATCTATTTTAGATCTATATATTATAGATCTATACTAGCCGGTGTGTTAATAGGATTGCTCTTTGGGGGTAAAAATGTATGTAAATAATTTAATTTAAAATATATATATAATATTATATTATTATTTATATTAAATGTTATATTAAAATTTAATATTTTTGTATCTTTCTTTAGCAACTGCAGCGTTAATAGCAGAAAAAAAACAGCCGACGGCCAGTTGTTACTACCGGCGACGCGAAAAAAACCGCCAGCGGCAAGAAGAAAACCTTCGGCGGCAGGAAGAAAACCGCCGTCGGCAGGAAGAAAGCCTCCGGCGGCAGAATGAAAACCGCCGTCGACAGGAAGAAAACCGTCGTCGGCAGAAAGAAAACAATGAAAAAAAACGTAATTTAAATCATTTTTATTAAAATTTTCAAAAAAATTAACAAATTTCTTTTTTTTTTAACTTTTCAGAGTACAAAAAAGAAAAAGGAAATCACCATATGTAATTAATTTAAATTAGGGGGTAAAAGCAAATTAAATGATCGGTTCTTTGCTTTTAATTTTAAAAAAAACAAACTACTTTTTTATTTAATGTCTTACACTTGTTATAATTTTCGCAAAGTCCCTTATTGACATTGATTCATTTAAATCGTTTTTCAA